ACATTACCACGGGTTTGAAGGTCATCTCAGAGCAAGAACAAGTTGGGGGTTCAAATAATGTCAGGTGGGTTATTTTAAGATCAGCATCATTTTCATGTTAACCCATTTCCCGAAATGAATGTGATTGTGATACTAGTCGTTTTCACTTTTGTGACTTTATTTGACTCTCTGTGACATTAAGTGGGAAACTTTTCGGTCTTATGTGGCTGTTCTCACTTTTGAGAGAATTTCCTACGTGTCTTCACGTAGGGTACCAGGGATATAGAAAGCAGGACTCACAGAAAAGAAAATCATTACGCTGAGGTGCAAAAAAGTCATGAGTCTTCTAATATCGTGTCAGACCTTCTTTTGCCAGCGAAGTGCATCAACTTAACGTGGCTTGTATTCAAGTCTTTGGAAGTCTCCTGCAGAAATATTGAGTCCATGCATCCTTTACAGCCGTCCTATTGCGAAAGTGTTGCCGGTGCAGTATTTTGTGCACAAATTGACCTCTCGATTATGTCCCATAAATGTTCGATGGGATTCGTGTCGGGTGATCTGGAGGAAAAATATTTCGCTCGAATTACCCCGAAAGTTCTTTAAATCAATCGCAAACGGTTGTGACCTGGTGACTAGAGAACCCAGTTCATTCCATGTGAATAGTTTCAATGGCCCGCTCCGTTATGGAGTCACCACCAACTTTCCTGGAGCCTTGTTGGAACTTGGATCCATGGTTCAGTGCAGTTTGCGCCAGTCTCGGACCCTACCGGCTTTTACCAGCTGAAATCGGGGCTCATCTGACGGATTTCCATTCGTCTAGGGTCCAATCGACATGGTCACGAGCGCAGGAGAAAAGTTGCAGACGAAGTCTTGCTGTTAAGGTACTCGAGTCGGTCTTCTGCTGCTGTAACCAATTAAAACCAAATTTCGCCGCACTGCCCTAACGGATATGTTCGTCGTACGTCCCGTTGATTTTTGCGGTTATTTCACGCAGTATTGCTTGTCTGTGAGCACTGACACCCTATTAAATGAAGGCCGTCGGCCACTGCATCATCCGTGATGAGAGGTTGTGCCTGAAACTATTCTCGGCGCTATTGACACCGAGGATCTCGGAATATTGAATCCCTAACTATTTCCGAAATGGAATGTCTCATATGTTTAGCTGCAACAACCATTCCGCGTTCAAAGTCTGTTAATTCTCGTCATGCGGTCATAATCACGTCAGAAACCTTTTCACAAGAATCACTCGAGTACAAATGAAAACTGCCAATGCACTGCCCGTTTATAACATTGTACGCTATACTACTGCCATCTCTATACCTGCAGATTGCACTCCCTTGACTTTTGGCACCTCAGTGGAAAAAGGAATACAGGATAGGGACAACAGAACCCGAAGGTTCTAACCGAACTGCAATTGTAAATTTTCTGTAAAAAACGAGCGGAACAGTGATGAAAGAAGTAAAGGTGTAAAGAAGCTGCTATCAGAACCGCAATTTAATCATGAGAAAGGGAATGCCACTGGGGGATGGCAAAAGACCGCGGTCGAACAGTTCCAAAGTGAGAAAAGGAATATCTCCGGCATTTTCTCTTCCGGACCACTTTTGCTAATATCCATTCGTCCTGCTGCTGCGAACGTTCCTGGGATGAACAATACGATGTTCAGTGGCAGATAAAGTGTTTGTAAAATGTAAAATCGACAAACTTGTACTTGATTATACGATAAATGTCCATTATGTTCCAGATGTTGATTTATAATTATTGTACCTGTGCAAGAACTCTCGCATGTAAAACTCTACCCTTTTTCTTATCCTCCCATTATCATATTAAGCATTATATCTTCTATTTAAAGGCTCTCTTATTCTCCGTCACTTGTTCGATATATCTCTTTGTAATATTACACTAATTGAACGTATTTTATCATTATAGTACAATTCACCCTTGTCAATACACACTATTCTTATTTAACTTTATAAACGAACAGAGAGGAACAGTGCAATTCAGTTGAATAGAATATTAAGTAAATCGTTTAATTTCACCTACAGGAGCAGATTCTGCACGTCACATGCCTGAACAGGTGGCGTAGAATTCAGCCGCACCGCTCCAGCAAAAATGTAATTGAACGCCCAAGAAGGATTCACCGTGTAAATTCAGGTACGAGGAACACTTCTTTGGGGTGTTTGCCCTCATAATTCCAGATTTGAAGGCTTCCTTTGGGAGTGATATAACTATATACATTTCAACAACGCTATCTGAGTAATGCGGGATGAATTATGCGTGAATATTTAGACGCGTTTTTTCAATAAATCCTTCATATTCTTAAAGTGAAAGCGCGATTCGTTAAGTCTCCGTGAACCTCTTTTTCTTTAGAAACTAGATTTATAAACATTGGTTGCAAGGGAGAACCCCAAAACTCATCTATACTAATGAAATAATGTAAGAGACGATGTTTCATTGTGGTGAACTGCTTGTCACAAAACGTATCGATTCCACTATTCTTCCTTCCTTCCTCTCTTCTGCACTTTTCTGCTTGTCCTAATTAGCATTGACAGGAGATCGTATCTAAATTTCTTCTTATTGGAAGCAAAGAAGTATACTTTGTTTTTATTTTGTTTTTTAGTATTCAACAAGAGCCATTGTTTACATTCTCTTTTCAGATTTTCTAAACTCCTTTGTGCCGAGTATGAAAGAGCACGAATACACTTTCACATTTTAGTCATATTTGTATTAAATGTTTTTTCCTCATTGTCCGCTTATTCGTGATTTAGTTAAGCAATATTCTATGTTTTTGTCCAGGATTTGGCGTTTTTTGTATATTGTAGTTCCTAGACCTTTCAACAGAGAGATGCCCTAGTACTAAATGAATGCCAATTTAAATATTTTATATTTTTGCCCAGTCTACATATATATTGTGTAAATGCACGTGATTTTAAGTAATTGTAAATATTTCTTGTTTTTATATATATGTACATTTGTTGTACTTATTATCTAATACTTGTATATGTATATAATATATTGTTCGTTCGTGTACATTGTTAGTGAGTAATGTATATGAAAAATTGTAATAGGATTTTACACATTCACAAGACATACGAATAATTTTTTCATCCTTAAAAATTTAGGGCTTCGGTCAGATTTGAAACCATAGATTTTATACATTTCTCCAGTCTTTGTATGCATATTGGTTCTTTTACGTTACAGTCGCCACTCTAAATCACACGTATGAACACACACACACACACATACGCAAATACACACACGTAAACACACACACACACACGTAAACACACAAACACACACACGTAAACACACAAACACATACACACGTAAACACACACACACACACAAACACACACTCACAAACACACACACAAACACACACAAGCACACGCAAACACACACGCGTAAACACACAAACACACACATACACATATATACATAACACATGCTGTCATGAGCCCGCGGGTTTACGAATGCTCATACAATACATAGATGTACGTACATACTTCTATAAGTTAACTCTGTTTAGGTGTTCACGTATTGTTTGATATGTTTTCGTTATTCGAGGGCAAAAATTACATCAATCAAGAAGAAATATATAGCGGTATCGTCACTTTTCTTTGGATACCCGTATCGTCTTCTGCCTCTGTTGGCGCTGATATCGATTCCTGGGAGGTGTCGCGCAACCTACGTGGAGCACGTGGGGTTCGGCAGGGGGGGGGCACTGCGCATGCGCCGGAGGGCGCCCGTCGGCCCCCGCGCTGCCCCCCACCTCAGCGACACAGCTGCGCTGGCAATGGCTCTTGATGACCCTTTTGGCCGGCGAAAGCAGCGCAAGCGGCTGAGCCTTCAATCGCTCTGCACGACGCTTCTTGGTCCTCTACATCTTGTCAAATCTTGCCAATTGTTGAGGAGTGAACTCTGCATTGCCTCTGATCGGACAGTGGCGGATTTTCGACACGAGCTACTTAGAGAGGATGAATTCAAACGCTATCAGGAGGAGAATTCTAATGGCTGGCTGTTATGATCGGTAGTTTTCCGTGGTATCGCCAAACATTACCAGGGGAATCCAAAATTGACTATATTTTTGAATTGTTCCCTACACATTGACGTAGGAAACACATCCTTACATGATAATGAACAATTTTTGTAATGTTCTCATAAAACCCTTGAATGTTTGTCAATAGCGCAGACGTCTGCCAATAACCACATTTTAACTCTAACTAAAAAAAAAAACATGCTCTAATATACATTTATTTTTGTTTTCAAGTGAGGAAATTCGTTCCTTGGTGATGCGGAGTTGCAAGGGAATTGAACACCGTATCACGCTCCCATTGAGCCGAATAGCAGGTGGGCAGAATATTAAGTAATTTAATACAGATTTATCCTGGACTTTTAACACTGAGTCTGACCACAACCTAAAATGGGCGCCTATTTATCTCATCGGTATTTTTCTAGCCGGCGGGAAAATCGGTAGATAAATTCGACGACATACTCAGAAAATACTATACGTTTGTGATAATTAGTTACGTATTTTCGTACTCACAATTCGTGAAGGTATTTTATCACGTAGGTGAATGGATAAAAAGACTGTCATGGAGGTACCAAAAAGGAATACGAACTTAATTACGAAAAAGGAACACATCTTGTCAGAGAAAGGAAGCATAATGTGAATAGCTAAAGAAGGGTATGTGGAAGAAAGAATTAGGAGACGAATATAACTTTTCGTCCATGTTAAGCGAGCAGGAGAAGAAGCAACAGGAAAAGACGATCGAGAAGAAAAGAACGAACATGGCTGAATCAGGTCAGGTCACGTCAAGAGAAACGATTAAATCTCGAGATATCAAAGAACTCAAAATATGGAGGAACTCGAGTTCTCGATATTCCACTGTACTTTGAATGGTTTAAAACAACCCGAACGGTCTGAAAGCGTAGTTTTCCGCGAATGGAGTCGAACTAGGCATAACTGCTAAAAGCATTTCGCCCTGAAGGAGGCGGCAGTATAATTTCCGAAACGTTGCAAACTATGGTTGCGGGCGCGGCATTTCCAAAACTGCCAAGTTCCCACCCAAGCTAAACGACATTTCGTCGGTGCTGCCGTCTTGCGCCGAAGCCGTTTCTTCTTCTTCTTCTTCTTGTGCCTTGTGCAGCGGGGGAGCGGAGGGCGAAGCAGCGAAGTGCGAGGGGTGGCGAGGAGGAGGGCCGCAGGAGGGCGGGGCGAGGGCGAGGCAGGGAGCGACAGCTCGATAGCCCGCACTGAGTCACGCGGCGCCGCCCCCTCGGCGCCCGCCCCGCCCGCCCCGCCAGCCCCGGCCGCGGCGTCAGCTGATCCGGGCGCGCGCCCCGCGGCCGCTCCCCTCGCGGCGCTGCGCGGCGCGGGCAGTAGGCGGAAACCGAAGCGGGGGCGCGGAACAGCGCGGCGCGGTTTCTCCCTCTTTCTCTCTCTCCGTTGCGGGGATTCCAAACTCACGTTTCAAAAACACTTTGAAAACATTTACACATACAAACAAAACAACCTTGTTTATGTTTAGGATTCGTCGAGAAAGGACACAAAAGTATTGTTTTACCATTGAAATCATTTCAAATCTCATCGCATGATGGAATTTACCAGGATTGATTTACCAGGGGAGGTGGCTCAGAGCATCAATTGAGGTCACTGCAGTGGCTCTGACCGGTTATGCCTAGATTCGAGGCGCAGGATTGACTAGCAGGATTTTCAACTAGCCAGATAGCTAGCTCAAATGTAGACGGTGTTTGGAGGAGAATTCTTGCGGCCAGCTGTCCCGTGGTTTCTCCGTTCAACTCCATGCGAATGATGGAGCAGTACCCTAACAAATGAGCCACGGACCGCGTGCGATCTTTCCTTCTTCTTCCTTACAAGCACTACCCTACCTGATTGGGGAAAACCTCGATAGCCGACCGGTGTCCGGCGCCCTATTTCACCATCCAGGAAAAGATCACTACCACCTTTCACGAAAAACATGCGGGACTAATGATCTTATCCGTTGATGCGCCCGAAATCACAATCGAACGCGGTGGATTGACGTTTCAGTGCTAATGAATTGATGTGTGGTACAGAGGGTATACAGGTTGTTTTATTGGTTGTTATTGTGTGAATGCGCTGCTGGTGAGTATGAGGATAATGTGGACTGAAATAATGTACACGCTCATTACTGCTCTGAAGAAGGTGCAAATATTGAAACGTTGGTTTATAAAACAAATTTCTTGTCTCCTATCACCAAAAAGAAAACAAATTTTAACAATAAAATGTGTTTGCTAGTGTATTAAAATGTAAAGCTTTTAAAGCTCGCCCCTCATTTTTATTTCTTAATTTGTAAGTAAAAAACTGCGGAAGAAAGAAACATTACTTGACAAAAAACTACAACTATTGCGAAAAATGTTCGAAAGTAGTATGCTTCAAGCAAATATTCTCCATTTAATGTATTCAGAATGTATTACTTACAAAAGGCTCTTTTCCTCTAAATATGTTTTATTTTGTCTAGTTTTGTGAAAAACAGTAACTTATTTGATTCATTTATTATCTTCATATTCGCAATTCGATGACAAAAGATTTCCAGTCCACAATTTTTTTCGCTTAACAGCTCTATTGGGCCTTATATCTTTCTTTATCTTCTAAACGTTTCGCATTTCAATGTTTGTTGGTCGCGCCTTTTGACCCTTTTCGCACGAGATTGGCTCGTCGCGCCCAGAGCACTGCGTGGTGTGGGG